TGCAGCAAACTTTCTCGCAACCGTTTAAGAACGTTTAATATGCAGAACACTCGGTTACAGACAACAGGATTTTGATGTTTATTTCTTTTTAATGTCTTTGAAGGTAAAACAGACTGTCACTCTGTCGTGGGTACAGTTCATCTTCGTGTACCTATTAAATTAATTAGGGACTTTTTCATTTTTGCTGTAAGCAGGTGTGCCAACCCTGCTAACATTATGAATAAGGATTTCTTTTACTATGTTACTTTAATTTTAATGTAATTAATATATTTTTCGTTTTAATATGTATTTTAAGATTTTGTCTGTTGGAAAGCACTCAAATGAATAATCACTATTATCGTTATCGCTGTTGCCTTGGACTGTCTACATATGTTATACGTTACCCTAGACAGACCTAACCTTGAATATGTAAGGTTCACTACGTGTACGAATGGCAGCGAGCTGCAACGTACCCAGCACAAGTTTCCTGCCCTCTGCTGGACTGCAACAACCACGTGCCAAGTGTCTTCATGCTTCAGAGGACTTCAAAACTTCACGCCTTCGCCTTCGAAAGAGGACGCATCAGCTCGATGCGCTGTTTCTTATTCAAGTTGACCTTTGAACTCAATTGTCCTGTTTTGGAAACTGTTGGTCTTCCTGCTCGGATTATCAGAGATTTCTCTATGCACAATGTCTGCATTTAAAAAAAAAGGTACAGTTATCCCTGTAACAGGCCGTGGAGGCCCATAGGTTTGCGAGAAGTCGAGGTTCACTCGTTTTCTAGACAATCGGCTCACAGATGGCGGTGAGGTTGTCAACCTTAAGTGCCATCCGAACTTTACCCCCCAGACGATTCCTGCTACTCATTTCTGCCAGAGGCTTGAATTGACACCAGGCCCATAATGCGGATGGAAGGATTAGATAAACTGAAAACAAAATACACTTCATTGGGACTCGAACCCGCGATCTTCCAGCTTGTAGCATAGTGCCTCAACCAAGTACGCTACCGCAAGCCCCCCAATGTCTGTATCTCAAAGCAAAATTGCCCTTCTACATTCGCTATAGCTGCTAACGTTTGCAGGGACCGTGACGTATTTGGAACCAGAACTGTTTCTCTTAATCGTATTGTTCTATGGTAGAGCTCAGTCGTTGGGCTACAGACTGGAAGGCCCGGGTTCGATTTTTCGCAGTGCAATATTTTTTTCTTCACAACATCCAGACCTACCCTGGGGCCGAACTAGCCTCATATCCAATGTGCACCGGGGGCTTTTTCCCCGGAGGATAAAGCGGTAGGGATATGTAGCTGACCACTCACCTCCATCTAGTGCCGAGGTCAAGAAAAGTGGAGCTATACCTCCACTCCCCATACGTCTTCGTGGTGTAGTGCTTAACTAATTAAGCACAGGGATAAGGTTAACTTTCAGTTTATTCAAGTTTATGCAGCATATGTATACGTGGACGTATATATATATACACACACACACATTTACTCAACAGCTCTACTGCCTTCTGTTGGGCCCTGGCCACTTTTTCAGTTTCTCAATCTCTTACACAGTCGGCAGGACTCCCTGGACGAGGATCAGCCCTTCGCAAGGCTGCTACCTTCATGCAGGACAGCACAAACAAAAAAATAAACGCACAAAGAAATCCATGCCTCGAATGGGATTCGAATCCATGAGCACTGTGTTCGAGCGGGCGAAGACATTTCATGCCACTGTAATCGGCAGACACACACATAGGCCCTACATATTCTTTCCTTCTCAACCAAGTATGGTTGCAACTGCTGTTACTGTCCAGATGAAACTTGTGGCCTTGTTTTGTGTTCTGTTTCTTTCGTGCCGATTTTGGGCTACTGTAGGTAAATAAAGGAATAAATTGAATTGTTTTTATTGTTGTTACTATTTCTGATGGTGTCTGTGCTCTGTGCAAACAAAAGGCATAACTGTAACCAAACTACAAGTATTTGCGCGTGCGTAACCGTAAGATCAGCCCTGTAACGTAGGAAACTTTTCCAACTTCATAAACCTGGCGTTGGATCCCATCCGCCCTTCGCAACGTGAAGTGAGATCTGGAGGATCATCCGCCATTTCCCTCAACTCCCCTTCCTCCTTGCGACCTCAATGTTTGAGAGCGAGGAGGAGAGGAGAGGAGAGGAGTGATGATAGACGATTTCTTACGGGCAAAGATCACAATTACTGCCTTTGAAGGCTCCCAGTCAGTTTCCACTCGTCCTTCGGGTAAAGGCTGGTAATATTGCAACTTAACGTGTTGGGAAGTGATGAGGGTAAAGTGTTAGGAAGGGGACTGTTTCGGGTTATGATCAGAGGAAAGAAAATGTGCAGTACGTTTACTGCGTTCGATTAAAATTTTGATCTAAATAATAAAGCTATATAAGAATCCATTTTTTACGGTTTGGTTTTGTATTCCAGAGGTACTCGGTTCGTACTTTGCTCAGGTTACTATCAGTTGTGACTAAAATGTCGCCTACAAAAGGTCACCCTCTCCAGTCAAATGGGGGCCATACCTTGAAACAGACCACAATCTCCTCCTTCGCGTAAGCCTACGTCTATATAAAGGTAAAGTTGTCCCTGTGCTTAACTAATTAAGCAATACACCATGAAGGCGTATGGGGAGTGGATGTCCAGATCCACATTTTCTCGACCTAGACACTAGTTCGAGTTGGTCAGCTTCATGTCCCGGCCGATTTACCTCCCTACCCATTTGATATTAGGCTGGGTGGACCCCAGGGTCGGTCTGCACGACGTGGAGAAAATTCTTGACCCTACCGGGACTCGAACTCCAGCCTGTAGACAGTCGCTATACCGACTACGCTATCCTACCACTGGATAGGCTCCGAAAAACAGAAGTATAATGGAGCATACATATCTCCAGCTGCAAGTGGGCCATGTTCAGCGAAACAACGGCAGGTGGCACGCAGGTGTTCCCACCATCCACCAGCCAGATTGACTGATATCAAGGGTATTTAAACCCCGAATTTTCCTTCAGGAGTACTGCTTCTTGCGATGTAAAGCCATACAACCCGGAGTTCACCGACGTTTCGGAGGAATGTACCACCTCCATCTTCAAATTCAAACTAAGCCAAACAAGAAGCAGTGACAACGCTGATCGCTTCTTACCTGCGACGTGCTTGGCTTATTCTTCGATCCTGAAGATGGAGGCAGTCGTTCCTCCGAAACGTCAGTGAACTTCTATCGGACACGGGGTCACTTCCCAGGAAACAATGTTCTCCATGGTCACCGTTTTGAGTCTCAAATCCAGTACAGGTTTTCGTTGTCGGTATGAAACATGTTAAAATGTACGGAGTCTACACATGTGACTTTACATAACAGAAAGTATGAAGTCTCGATAATACATCTTAATGCGGAGCGTACTATTTATGCAAATCATAGCATACACAAAGAAAATGATACGTCACTCAAATGAATGTAATAAAGGAAGGCTCATAGAATCTACACTGGAGTTGGCATAGGTCATGATCATCAATGTTAATATGGCCTACGTTGCACAACAGTGTTGCCAACGTAATTCTATGTTCGGCTCCTGACAATCTCTCAGCTCTAAGCAGCAGGCAAAAAGTAAACCTGTCCCTGTACCAGGCCGTGGAGGGCCATAGGAGTGTGAGACGTCGAGGCTCCCACATTTTCTAGACAATCGGTTCACAGATGGCGGTAAGGTTGTCAGCCCTACTCGCCGGCCGCCATTTACCCCCCAGGAAGATTCCTGGTACTCATTTCAGTCAGAGGCTGAGTCGACCCCTGGGCCACAGTGCGGCCTGAAGGATTAGATCAACTGAAAAAATCCAATGACTTCATCGGGACTGGAACCCGCGACCTTCCGGCTTGTATCAGTGCCCCCTGTACTGCATAAGGGAGACACTTTATGCGCCTTCTTCGTGGGAAATGGCAATGAACTGGAAAGGAAGACGGGAGAAAGCAGGGAAAGTTTACAGAACAAGCATTGAGACTTGGCGCCTCTCAACGGATGTCACACTAGGTCCGTTGGCGGAAAGTAGCCTGCTTTCCAACGCGACGGTTCGGGTTCGAGCCCAGGTCATGTCATGTGGAATTTTTGGTGGACGAAGTGGCCTTGGGGCAGGTTTCCCCGGCCAATTCTCATTTCACCAAATGTTCCACTCTCATCATCTATCATCTGGGGGCTGGTATAATCGGCCAGGTAGTTGCCGGCGTACCAAGTGGACTCACCCAAAACAAAAAACTAAAAGAAAACAGCGTGAAGGTCTTCCATTGGCCTATTAACTTCCTGCATCACATAAACGACGAATATAAAAATATGAAATTACAAATAAGCATGACTGAACGATACATATTTACCGCGAGATGCGAGAAATACGAATATGACGATGGGCCAGTAGCACGAGGTTCGCGAGTCCGCATGCGCGCTACACCCTGGTTCACGTGACGTGTAATGGCGCTATCTCCGACACTGACACGCAGAATGCTTATGTGCGTTGACGTCACGACGTCAACAAGACAAACAGCTGAACTTACTGCCCTCCATTTCCGATAACGCAGGTAAAGGAAGGATTCAGGCACAAGGCACAGCACTTCACATGGAACTGAATACTTCATGAAGCAAAACAATGAACAAGTTAACCTATCTACGCACAAGGATTGAGCCGGCATCGAGATGGGCTACGGACTGGACGGACGAGCTTCGATTCCCGGCACGGACAAGAGATTTCTGCACAGCGTCCAAGCCAGCTCTGGCAGTGACCATGTCTTTATGGTGTGGTGCTTAAATCATTAAGCACAGAATGGAGGGAATATGGGGCCGCGCAGTGCGAAAACATCCTACCCTTCCTAAAAGCATTCATGATTTTCCCAAGTCCCTCCAAAGTAATGCGCGAATAGCACCTGAAATCAGGGCACATCCGCCTCGTTCCCAGTTCATTGTTCACTGATCGTCCTGTTATTATTCAGCAACAATTTAAATACTGGAAGTGTCATTAAATAAATCCATGAATAGCAACAATACGTAACAGGTCTACCTGCCATGAGACTGGTTGCACGTGACGGCCCACGTAAACATGGCGGCGCTCGGAAGGCCTGCTCTCCCATCAGCATACCGACTTTCGCCGTCTGCAAGAGCCAAATAGGGACGGACGCTGCAGTTTCGTACTCACCAAGCGCCGCACTGTCACTTGTTTCCAAGTTCCCAGTTTCTGCAACAAAAGAGTGCATCATTATCATTATTAATGCCATAATCAATATGTGCTGAAGCAATAGACGCACTCTCACCGGGTGTAGAGGCTGCGTAAGCTGGGATTCTGTCGGAATGCGGGATCTGTACTGTTCAGACCACTCTTCCTCCTCCTTTTACATTTGTGTGACGTCAACACTACCTACATTACGTCACAGAGCCGCAGGATATGCAACAAGTCACACATCTACTTATTGGCCTAAGTGAGGTGCGACTACGAACATAAAGCCAGACTCTTAACTCACGTGACCGTATTTCTCCGGCATTGAATGACATTATTCACACCTGCAGTAGTTTACACTAACTGACAGTCTACTGTTCGCGCTGAATTCCTGGAAGTAGTAGGCAGTTTTCTCCACTGCGACCAGAGCTCTGGGGCCCATCGAATGCTCCGACGCTGACTGCCGAAGGTAAGAATGCGTGGAGATGAATCTCCACGTCTCCACATATCTTTGTGGCATGTGTTTACACGTAGAGACTTCAGTTTTTACATAACAGTGCCCAACAGTGTACCGAAGCAGAGTTGGCCCCTCACGAAAGGACGCGTGAGTTTAGCCTTTCAGGTGGGAATATGACGTCTGTACAATTGATGCACGTAGATATAATGACAGTTGGCAAAGCAAATGTGTACATCTTCCAGTTACGAGTAGGTGCTTCAGAGTGACAGGAAGGTGCTGATTATGGCAGGTCCCACAAGAAGTGGTGTGGTGTTCTGTGAACTACTGCACAAGAATGACTCTAGTTGTGACAGTGACATGTGGTGAACAAGATGTCAGCTCTGATGAAGAAGAAAACGTCAGTGACAAGAGCTGCACGCAGCATGAAAAATATTTTTCCACCACCGAGTCTCTCTCATTGCTCCCTGCCCATTTATCCCCCCCCCGGCCTTCCCTCTGGGTTTCGAATCGTTAATCACCATTTACGGCTACGGTGACTGCGGACAGACTTCGCAGTCACCGTTTACGGCTACGGTGACTGCAGACAGGCTTCGCAATCACCGTTTACGGCTACGGTGACTGCAGACAGACTTCGCAATCACCATTTACGGCTACGGTGACTACAGACAGACTTCGCAATCACCGTTTACGGCTACGGTGACTGCAGACAGACTTCGCAATCACCGTTTACGGCTACGGTGACTGCAGACAGACTTTGCAGCAACTTCGGCATCATGAAGCACTGACTTTGGTGTTTGTGTAGTGTCCTCGAACCGTCTGTGGAGGAAACGGCAATGGCCTATATGAAGGTACTTCCGGGCCTTCCTTTAAAATAAAAGAATTCAAATGTCTGTGAATTATTCGAAATTTGAAGGGGAAACCTATTAATAAGAGTAAGCGCTAGGCTAATTTGCTGAGCACTTCACGCTTTGTGCCTTAGGAAAGAACACGTGAAACGAATGCATAAAGGTAGCATAATTCAGCATATTGACATCTTTTTCAGAATAGGGGTTGCATCCCCTACACAAATCACTGCAAACTACAAGAACAGCTCCTCCCCGAGGTGTCTGCTTCTAAGAGTGTTAGTACGGATGTTAGAGTGTTAGTTTGGATGCCATTATGTCAGGGGAGACACCACGGAAAACGCTCTGTGGTACTGCAGTGTCCGTCTTTGCAGCGCAGTGTACTGTGACGACCTTCGGAATTCCGTCTGCAGCCTTGTCAGGGGAGACACCACGGCAAACGCTCTGTGGTACTGCAGTGTCGGTCTGTGCAGCGCACAGCGTACCGAGACGGCCTTCGGAATTCCGTCTGCAGCCTTGTCAGGGGAGTCACCACGGAAAACGCTGTGGTACTGCAGTGTCGGTCTGTGCAGCGCACAGTGTACTGAGACGGCCTTCGGAATTCCGTCTGCAGCCTTGTCAGGGGAGACATGACGGAAAACGCTCTGTGGTACTGCAGTGTCGGTCTGTGCAGCGCGCAGTGTGCTCTGATGGTCTTTGGAATTCCGTCTGCAGCCTTGTCAGAAGACAGCTCTGTGGCACTGCAGCCATGTTAGTTGCCCCGCCACTGAAGGGATGACCGGAGGTTTGTAGATGAGTTACGTCTTGCGCAATGTGACGTCGTGTAGTCCGGTAGAATGTTATCAAGGTCAATAAACAGTAATCATACTCACGGACGTGAGAATCTAATATCTTTCGGAATTTTACTTCCACCACAAATGCGACCATAATATCCTCTATTTGTATATATATGGCATTTTGAACCATGCCAACTACCCGACCGTAAACAAGATAATACTGAAGTGTTCCCTCTACTTGATGAAGTAGCATACCATGAAGACGTACAGGTCCTTGCGTTCTCAGCCTCGACACTAATTGTAGAAGTAGTAGTCGGGATTTATCCCCTCATAGGAGGAGCACCAGGTACCTACTGGACAAGAGGCAGGGTGGATCCCACAGCTATGAGCAAATCTACTGCCACTGCCGCGAATAGAACTCCGATTGCTAGGTCATCCTGCCCCTAATCCATCGCTATACCGACCGACCTATCCTGGCTCCAGGAGGACAATATCACATATTACAACTATCCTGGAAGAAATAAAGCGGGGAGGTTGTGAGCTGCACGGAACAGCTTCTGGATCACGCCCCACGGCAGGAATGGCCTACGTCTGTCTTCAGACGGGCGGCCAATGTTTTGTTACTTCCAGTTTCTAGAAGTTTCTAGAACTAAATCTCAGAACAATGGCTGTCCACCTAACATCCTTCTTCAGTTCTACTAACCTGTCTCAGGCGATCCGATCATTTGGGCTCGTGCTTAAGGCTAGCGGTTGGTAGTCACACCTCGACATTCTAATGAAGTCACCTGACTTACGCACAGCATAAAACTTCTTCACCTGCTGAATTAAACGCGTCTGATGCCGTTTTACAAGTACAGTATTAAAGAATCTCCCTTCGGACAAATATTTGTATTCTCAAATGCTCGCTCTAGTATAAATTCACATTATGTATTGATTGGTGCAAACTCTTAAAAATAAAGTTAAACTCATGAAACTTGTGTTTTACCCGTTCCTATCACCTACTCAGAAAGCCTACATACAGCAACACGCGAGTCTAACAATTTGCTATATAAGCATTCTCTGCATTCTCCCGCGTGTCTTTCCATGCTTTCGAATCCGTTCCTTTTGTATAGTACACTGCACTTCACACATCCACATCAGCGTGTTATCGCATCGCACTGAAACAGAAGACTGCTCACTCATTCGCGACCTACTACATAAGTTACGTTCATGAAAAGTGCTAATGCTCGACAATTAGTAGTTATGGTAACCTGAAATTACAATGTCAAACCTGACACGTGTATACATATGTACATAATGGTAAATATGTGGACCACGGAATTCTTAACTGGTTGCAAACACCCCGCCCTAAGGCAGTACAGATTGGCAGCACCATAGCTCAAGCGGTTAGTCGCTGGCTTCCCACTGCGACGTCCCGGGTTCGAGCCCGGGTCAGGTAGTGTGGGATTTTTTGCGGACAAAGTGGCTTTGCGGTAGGTTTTCTCCGAATTCTTCTGTCTCCCCTACCAATCTTCATTCCACCAGTTGCTCCACAATGATCAATACTGGCCGCAGTACCAAGCGGACTCAGTCTCACATGCTAGTGGGGTGGGACTAAGTCCCTTGTACTGCGGCCACTTCTGGCCTATTGTACCAGCCCCAGATGATAGGTGAGGGTGATTGTGGAGCAATTGGTGGAATGAAGATTGGCAGGGGAAACCGAAGTACTCGGAGAAAACCTGCCCCAGCCCAGCATCACTTTGTGTACCACAAATCCCACTCGACCAGACCCGGGATCGAACCCGGGCCGCCGCGATGGGAAGCCAGCGACTAACCGCTCCAGCTATGGCGGCCTTAGTAGTACAGACACTAAACCTCCAAAGTAGAAAAGCAGTTAAATGTGCCGTTAGGATGTTAACTGCATCCAACATCGTCAGGGAGCGATGGGGTGCGCGATGCACCTTCGGATCTTAAACTGGAATCGCAGTGTCAGACGAACCGGACCAGCAGTCACAATGAACCCCTACACTTACCGAAACCAACCTCTGCAACTTGCCCAGTGCCGGGTCAGAGGGATAACGCCCATCCCCGTTCCAAGTTACACACCGATGATGTAATAACGTGCTGCTTAGTCAGGGTTATCGCACAATTCGCTATCACCACAGCACCCGCTAAGCCTTTTCCAGCCGTTACATGGCAACGCAGTCTAACAGTGCAGATTCTTCAGCTTCACACGCTTAAGTCAACTCTTCACAGACTCCCGTACAGAACTGAACTGACTGGGTCGCCCCAATAACTCCTCGGCAAGGACCACGTAGAAACACTCAGTTTCCAACAGTACCTCTACTGCTGCGCGTCGATTTGTTGCTGCGGGATCGTGTTTACAGAGCCGTTGCCTAGAGACGTCTCTGGCACAGGTTACTTTCCTGTTTCGCAGGAGGAGCCGCACAGCTGTCCTTGCATGTAGCACTGAGACAAATCAGTCCACAGCGAAATCTGCGGTAAGACTGTCCACTCTTCGCAAGCTCCCAGTTTTCCTAACTTAATTATTTACATGTTTTTACCTCAGCATTTATTACCCAGTTCCTTTTATTCACCACCCAAACTCGATTACTTCAAATCGTCTTCTTGAACCCAGGATTCAAAAGAAACGGCAAGGCGTGAGCTCTGCTTTGCATCACAGCCTACACAAGAGGCGCACGTGATACAGCCAGGAACAGTTAACTTAAGGTTGCACTTTATTAAACGTTTGTATCGAGGCATTACGGTCGACCTACTGACAGCTTCTGTTCGGTAAGCTGTACCATTTGAACCCTGGACGACACTTGAGTGAAGGTACAGGGTGTCTGAAAAAACTGCAGACAGTACCACGTTAGTGAATAGAAAGTTGGAATTTAGAAATAATTTGCTTTTGGCGCATTCGCGACGAGAAGTTCCAGAACTTGGCATGTGCGTTTCGCGCTGCCT